CCACTGACTGTGACTTTGGAGTTACAGGTGTCCATGGGTGGCGGCAGTGACTTACCATCAGGTGACCCGAAACCTCCTTTCTATGGAGAGGCCTATGTCCAGCAGTGGACTAGTAAAGGCTGTTGATGATGACCCGTATGCTCGTTTGTCTCTATATGCTATAAAAATATATTTAATACAAAGCCCCTCGGAATAACAGAGATGTCACTTCTCTATTATTCCACAATCCTATCACCTCCCCATTGATCTATGAGAATAGAGCTACTCATATTATATACGAGTACTTTTACTATGATTATTACAAGTATTTTCTTGTTGATTGGTTAATTTTTGGCGACTGGATGGCGTAGTGGTTTGTGTAACGGACTGCTATTCCAAAGGTCACGGGTTCTATAAACGTTCAAGTCAAACATTTGTGTGCATTAACATTTAATGTTTGATATAATATGTATTTAATTACAAAAAAAAAAGTATAAATGTATTTATATCAGTTGTCTAGTACTCATAGCACAAGCTCTGCTTAGTTTGGGACTAGATAGCTTTGTGTGAATGTGGCCACCAGCTTCTCCCTCTGCACAGCATCCAACGAAGAGCGACTCGAATTGTCGATAGCCCAAACATCTCCGATCGGCTCGATCTCTTGGCGTTACGTAGAGATGTGGCTTCACTCTGCTTTCTCTATCGCGTATATCATGGAGAGTGCTCCAAGGAATTGTTCGGACTAATACCAGTCGCAAATTTCCGCCATCGTTTCACACGGCAAAATTTTCATCCTCATTACCTGGATAGTCGGCGCTCCACTACTGTGCGCTTTTCGAGACACTTTTTGCCCCGCACAACCAATCTGTGGAACGGGTTATCTTCTGCGGTATTTTCGGACCGATACGACCTTCAAGAAAAGAGATTACTCCTTCCTAAAAGACCGGCAACGCGTTTGTGACTCCTGAGTTGCAGACGTTCATGGGCGGCATAGTAACTTGCCATCAGGTAACCCGTCTGCTCGTCTGCCCTCTCTAACATAAAAAAATGTAGTAGAATTAAAATTTTTTTGCTAATTCGCAAAATCTACCCATAATCTACAGTAGGTACCTATTTTTTTGCTATTGATGCATTGAAAAGAAAAAGAAGAAAATATTTTCCTTATTTTGATGTCGATAAATAGCACGTTTTACATTTCTTATCCTTGCTTTAGAGGCGTCTTCAATCAAAGTACAAACATTCGGGTACAAGATCTAAGACTCTTCGAGGTACTACAGTCTAAGTCCCATTTCCCTAATTAAGAGTTGTGGTATCCCCTATCTTTGCTCCCTTATCTCATCTAATGGGATCTATCTCATCTCATCTGGTAGCTAGGTCTATAGAATTAGACTCTGACCCTGAGGCTAGTGACCTTGACTCCTAACCCGGAGGTCATTGGTACAATTCCCACTCACGACAAATAATTGTGCAATGGCTATGATCATTTATTCCGTTTCTAGATGTTATTTACCTATAGTATGTATGTATTTAAAAATATAAAAGTACCTATGTTTATCAGCAGTCTGGTTATCATGATACAGGCCCTGGCAGGGCCTGTATCATGATAAGGCAGGGCCCCTGCCTAGTGTGGGATCAGACGGCCTTGCGTGAGATGTGTAGAGTCATTTTTATTATTATTTACCTTCTTCCTTTGTCTCTGCTAAAGATTTCATTTCCATTTCAAGGTTACAAATCACACCAACGAGAGAACAGGCTAATGATGGTTTTATGATTTATACACTTCACATGTTTATTTTTAAATAAAATTAAAATAAAAGTTCACATTTTATTAAATAATTATTGTTTTACTCTCTCTCTCTCTCTCTTATGCTTAGACGTAAACTTGCACCAAATAGTTGAGGCCTTCGCCGCGTTCACTTTTCAGCTTAATGTTCACATAAGTGGACCCCACTCCACCCGATGTGAGCGTCGCCCGAGCCTTTGACTTGGCTAAATCTATCACTGATAAGCCCTGAAAAAGACGGTCAATTTTTAACTTTACCATGTTTCAAAGTCTTTATCATATTATATCTATAATAATAATCTTACTATAAGGACTTTAGACAAGCTTTCGACATAGAGTTAATTAACCAATTTTATTTTAAACACGGTTCGGTACCATGCTACGCATATTATTACCAATATTTTTTCTAGATCCATATTTACAGCTAAATTGTGTACAAATCACAAATTAGATTTGTTGGCAATAATCGATTACATAATTTAAAACAATGACCTACTAATAAAACAGTTTTTTTGCCGGTATTTGTTTGCAATAATCGATTACATAATTTAAAACAATGACCTACTGAGCTACCTGTTTGTCTCTTAAATATTACTAGAATAATTTTAACACATCATGAGCCGAGTACAACATAGTTCGTTTTGAATTCGAGGTAAAAGTATGTTATTGGAAAACGAATAGTTCTTCTTTCGTAATTATTTACAATATGACACAATAGTACCCGAGATGTGCCGGCGCCTGTTTTTAATTCCAACACATAATTATACATAAAGAATAAATAGCTTAATTCAAACATCACTTTTAAAAAATATAGCACCAAATAATAAATAACCCTGCACTGAGCACTTACCTTGATAATCTTGGCAGTGTCCCGAGTGTTATAAAATACATTTTTGCTTCTAGTTAAAAGTGGTATTGATGTTATTTTCACATTATCACTGTATGCTAATGTACCGCTTGTACCTGCAATCAAGTCTTCAGCATTGTATGCGGCAATACACAGAACAGCGATAATACCAAAACGAATAACGAAAGACATTTCGATTAAAATATTCTTCTTAGATGAGCTGAGTTTTAATAAAAGAGTAAAATTGTACTGTTGGCTGGATTGACATGATCAACTCTTTTTACTAGCAGCTGCTTATCGTTGAAGAGATAATGCTCACGAGATAATATCCACAAACCATATGATTAACATTGAAGTAAACATATTGTTTCATATTTTTCCGTGATGTATCTCTTGATTAAAAAAATAATGTTTAACAGGTAGTATGTGTCCGGTTAGAGGACTCGGACTTCCCGGCAATAGTCAGTCTTATCACCTAATTGTTAAAGTCAGTAAGTCAGTTTGAGTTAGGGGTGCACGACCTACTCAACCTATCCCCTGCCTCTGCGAGCGATTTTTATTCTTTTTTATCGTTTTGAGTACCTATTTAAACCAACCAGGTTCTGTCCTGACGCTATCTCCAGGTATGAACGATTGTAAAATAAATTTATAAGGTTTGTCAATAGTTTTAGTTAAACATACAGCTTACGAGACTTTACCACCGCCGGCTTAACAGCCGGGATCACTAACCTACCAACAAGCCTGAAAATAGCCCGCCGTGTGGGGAATATCCGCCGCTCTCAGGTAATGTTATCTTGAATTAGGCAGCCAAGCGGTAGGATAAATGGTATATACGAGTATGTAACTAGTGTGTATGATGTTTTTCTTAGTAGTAGTATTACAAAATGTCAAATGTACTCGTAAATCAACTTTTATTCTTATGTCATGCTTATATTATCATTTATACTCGTATGTATATATACATATTATAATCCTTAAATGCTGCTAGAAGTGGGGATAGTGATACTTTCGACGATCTACCTACATAGGGTTTTGGACTTTTAAAACACATCCATAAATTTGAAATGAAAACAATAATTAACCAATATCAACCTCACAATTTTCTTAAATGCTTTTTAAATTTAAAAAAGTCACAGATGTCGATATTATGAATCTTTGATAAAGTATTGTATTGCCTACAGATCCATGCAATGTCAATGTCAAAAAAGCTATATGCATTCTTTCTTGGAATAGAAAGTAACGTAAGTACTTATGGCAATTTACTATTTCCTTAATAAAAATATTGAAGAATATAGGTCCGAGATGCGATCCTTGCGGTATACTGAAGGTAATCGTATAGTTTTTAGAGAAATATGCGTTTACCTCAAGTGTAATAAGTTCTATTTTCCAAGTAAGACTCCATCCACCTGATTAATGATCTTTCAGTGCCAAGTTAACCCAGTTTTATTATAAGTAAGCTGTAATCTACTTTATCGAATGCCTTACTAAAATCTGTATAGCTCGCACTTACTGTTATTCATTTGTCAATATATATTACGAAACCGTGCTAGTGTCGCTTGTGGTACCTCCACATCAGATGTTGACTGATAAGTTTCTATTTTGCCAAATGTAACTAGTAAGGATTGCTTCTCCCCTGATTTGAAAATGGGTATAACAAGGCTTCCTTCCACTTTGAAGGAAAGGTGTTTTTCTGTAAGGATCTATTGAAAATGATTTGGAGTGGATTAACCAAACCTTTTGCACAACGCTTAACAAAAACCTGAGGAATAATATCGCTGCCTACCCCTTTGCTTCATCTAGCGTATGAAGACATCTATATATTTATTGCTGTCAAGTCTTAAATGACAAAGTGTCGATGAAGTTTCAGAATTATAATAGGTAGAACATGATTTGTTTTCATGTAACTAATCCCTCCCATACGCCCACCACTGTAACTCCTGTACACCAGGATCAACAGCAGTGACCCACGAACACACCGAGTTATGATGCTCGGGAAATTCCAGGAAACTCTCTTGGAACCCGCAACGAAAATTAATTAAATGAAAATGAAATAAAAAATAATTCGAAGGAAATTGGAGGAGTTAAGAAATGCAGTAAATCAACTTCCCTCCTTAGGAAAATTAAAACCAGAATTAACAATAAAAACGACTTATAATCAAAATCACAATTAAAAAACAAAATCAGAATCAAATAAAAATCAAAGTCATAATCACCGTGACAATCAAAAACCAAATTAAATAATACAATCAAATCCAAGGCTTCATCACAGGTAAAAATTATAATCAAAATCAAAATTAGAATCAGTACCAGAATCAAAATTAATCCGCCTCATCGATCCCAAAATGTTACAAATAAACTTTTACGGTATACAGCTATATATACATGTGTGTATTAAACGAATATCTGCACAAGATAGTTGAGACCATCTCCGCGGCTGCTCTTCAATCTTACGTTTACGTAAAGGGCATCAATACCACCTGATGTGATCGACACACGGGCTTTTGATTTGTTCAAATCTACTGCTGATATAGCCTGTAAAAGTTACAATACATTCATTTAAGCACAGCTAAATAAATCCTTGTTACAAATAGTTTAATGAACTTTAAATCGAGTGCTTATGAGGGAGAGTACGGTTAGCGTTCGATTCTAACCAGGAGAAATAATTGTGTTGAGCATGATCATTTTTGGTTTGTATCTTAGAGTCATTTTTGGTTTGTATCTTAGAGTCATTTTTGGTTTGTACCTTAGAGTCATTTTTGTTTTGTATCTTAGAGTCATTTTTCCATAATCTGCGTACATTTATTAATATCTAAGTATGTTCAACAAATGGGTTGGGTTCTGTTATATCTACAGGTTTATCTAGTTTGTGATCCCAACGTTTGAATTTTAATCATCTTATTGATATAAAGAATTTACGGTGATACTGATGAAGAATTTCAAAGTTATGAAAGAAAAAATAAAATGTAATGTTAAATTACTCACCTTGATAATTTTTGAGGAATTGTTCGTGTTATAGAAGACGTTTTTCTCTCTAGTAGTCAAAGGAATAGAAGATAACTTCACCTCTTCACTGTACACCAGAGTGGTATTGACTAAACTACCAACCTGCAAGTCTTCAGCACTTGTTATGCTGACACAAAGCACAACAGCAATACACAGTCGAATGATAGCAGACATTTTTATTAAGAAACTATTTTTTTGTGAACAATTTCTTAAAATATATTATTTGAATATTTACGTCCTGTTTATATATGCGTTGTCTAGTACTTGAGATATAGCGATAAATATGAATCATGTTATCAGTTATGTTGACAAGGGTATCTATCGATAGATTTATCTGTTAGTCATTCAGTATTAGTAATAGATAAATTTTGACACTTATATTTGAAGTGCTCTCTATCTCTGAAGGCACACTAAGAAGTCTCATCTTTTTCATAATGCACTTAATAGAACGATACTGGCAGATACAGAGCTTAATTATATTATATTGAACTTAAAAAAATAATGAAAATAAGTATAATTGACGCTCGGCTCATTGGGGCTCATTGCAAAGTTAAGCAATCATAGTCAGGTCAATCTATGGATGGGTGACCATTCTTAGCATATTGAGATCGATCCCGGTTGAGGTACATTTGTAGCAATCGTTACAGATACTTTCTTTCTTCAGATATAATATTTCTACAGACTCCCATATCGTTGGGTTGTGGAGATCTGATGGCAGTCACTCCGCATAATAAATCGAAGTTCAGCTGTTTCGTAGAAGACTTAAAGCCAACCCTAACCTAGTTTGAGAAAAAGGCTATTAGGAAGGAAGGAGTATAACTGACGCTGTAGTAAATGAGTATTATAATTCCTTTTACATAAATAAATATGACCACAAATATTACATGTGTCACAGAGATAAACGAGACAAGCACAAACAACTAAACCTCCATAAACAGTTACATATAAAGCGTTGCCCTCAAATTTCAATTCTAAACTAACGCCCTCATGACCGAAATTTTCACTTAACTCGACATGAAAAAGTAATTCCCCGTACCCAATTTGTTCGGCTATACGACTTTATCAAAAGTTGGACACATTAGTACCAGATGTGGCTCGGTGTGAAACGACTTCAAGTTCTTTTGATCCCATTGTACTTATGCCTTATGGTCCCATCTATTACTGGTCGCCCTTTATTTGTAACACGGTACAGGTCAGCGTATTATTTTTTATTTCATTATTCTTGCTCCCACCGAAGTGTAATTTCTAATAAATATTGTTTTGGCTTATAGTTTTTGTTTGAAGGGTTTGATTTGAAGAGTTTAATATTAAGTGGTTTGTCTTTCAAATACGATCTGTCAAGAGTATGTTAGTAAATTATGCTTCTTCGAATTTGAATAAGTTTTGATATTAGCTTTTGACAGACGCCGCGTTAGAGATTCATACACGAGAACTATGCATAAAACAGTACTGCGTCCGTAGCTTTTAATCTTTATATATATAATTCTTCTGTGAGTGTGTATGTCACTGAACTTCTCTCAAACGACTAGACCGATTTTGATGAAATTTTTTGTGTGTGTTCAAGGGGATCTGGGAATGGTTTAGATTCACAATTTTGTCCGCTGGACAATGTTTTTTTAATTAATTTTTAATTTATTAGTAGTTGTTGATTTTGGAATGTTTTACATTGAATCAGACAGACGGCGCTACCATCGCAGTGTCAAATTTGACAGGACAACGTCTGTCGGGTCCGCTAGTATTCCTATAATTTTTTTCATGTTTTACAATAAAGTATAGACAAACAATCGTAGGAATTAGTAAATACCTTACCCTACCCTACTGGGTAATTCACTTATTCTGTTTACCTTATTCTTCTAAATTATTAATAGGTGTATGATTCTAATTATTAATTGATAGACTGTGATAAGATGACCTTCCAAAAGCGAATCATTAAGCAAGGAGTACCACAAAATATACCACAAAATGTACCACGTAATATATAGCAAAAACTGGTTTGTTGACATTGCAGTATTGTCTATAATACTATATTAATTGCAATCGTGCTGTTTACTTCTAAAAACAAGAAAAAAATTGAGCTACAATATCCAGGCTATGCTTCTGTAGAACAATGCAAACTCATGGAATTAAGCAACCAGCGTCTATATGAGAACAAACTGCATCGCGGCCCTGTAATATTTATTTTACTAAATATCGGGTACGTTAGTAACAAATAGCAAAATTCTGTGTATTTATTCGAGAATAAACGCGATCAAACGTTTAGAGTAGTCTGCTCTCACGGTAAGACCACTGTTAGAGGTAAGACACCTAGAAATCAATCACTTCTGAGTCCCCCAGAAATAAAGGATGTGAAAAGACATATGGGGGAAGTATCATTTCGAGGAGTCAGTAACAAATGACGTTAGGCTAACGGCTTACTATAAAAAAATCCAGCCAAAGCCCATTGTAGTGTTATGTACTGCACTGGTTCCGAAGAGTATTAGAAGAAGCGGGTGATGATGATGGTACACTGATGAAATGAACTAAAGTACTGTATATACCCTAGCTTAGTTTACAATTAAAGCCTGCAGACTGCAAGTAATATCTTCCACCCTTTCTTTACTCACTAAATAGGTTTATTATTATTACTTTGATTTCATATTTTGCCAGGCATATGATATTTCTATAAAATCACTTAGATGTAACTACATCATCACATCATCATCAACAGCCTATACTAGTCCACTGCTGGACATAGGCCTCTCCTTAGAAAGGAGGTTTTGGCCTACCATACCACGCTGGCCAGACGGGTTGGTATAGGATTTGTTTCAAGTTTTCCTTCTCTTTGCATTGCTGTTGTCCTGCTTAGTTTGCTCCCTTAGTCGGCTCTTAGGACACCCACGGGATGAATTGGGGTGGTGACAATTTGTATTCTTAATCCGTCACCACACGGACTATTATGTAACTATTACTCATAAACTTTTCAATAATTTTACATATTATATAAAATATAATACAATAGGAAGAAAGAGAAAACAAAAAATCAACATTAATGGTTTCAAATAAACTCGTTTAAACAAAACGGATCCAAACAAACGTTTAATTTCTCTACTTAAAACACGTACACCGGCTCCCAAAAGTTGTGTTGCAAACAAGTCTCACGTCGTAAAATAAGTGTAATAACAACGCCGTGTTGTCCACTTTTCATACTAATTAAACATATTTATGGTTCAACAAAAAGTTTAAATGTTATTATGAACAGAAAGTGACAATAAGGTTGAAAATTCAATGTACATTTAAGTTCAGAATACGCGTACCTAATTATGTTTCATAATCCGATTGGCAGATGAATGTTTGGAATTGTGATTTGTTCAGAGGCTTATACCGACTAAGGTTAATAATTATGTTTTGTTAAAGTTGTTCTGTAAACAAGGTGGCTAATTTACTAGAAATTATGTTTTAAAAGGAAATATATTACCTTGTCAGATTTTTACAGTTACACATTATAACATGTTATTAATAGACTTTGAAGCAGCGGTAGCCACGGCGCGGCATCGGACTTGCGGTCAAGTGGTTGTCGACTGGAGTCTCATCCTGTGAGTATACTACAGATACGTAAGCCCACACCTAATACAAACGTAGTAGGAAGTGAACTGCTTGAGAAAAATACTAATAGTTTTTAGAAAACTATTTATATCATGTTAATAATAGAAGTTGTACCGATGTAAAAAAAAACGATGGACCGACGATTTGAAGAAAGTGGCTGGCAGCGAATGGATGTGGGCTGCCCAAGACCGGGATATTTGGTGCTCCTTGGGGCAAACCTTCATTCAGTTGATGAGTACGCATAACCAGAATATTGCTTAAGCATCCCTATGTCTCTCTGAGCGACTCTTTTAATGGACTTTTTTATCTTTAGTAGTCCACCAGTGGAAATAGGCCCATCCAAATCTGAGCCATAGCATCCAGTTCTGCCCAACTTCAAGTCGTTAGACCGTCTGGCTAGGGACTATCGCTGACGTGGCCAGCCCATTGTTACTTAAGCATGTGTATTCTAAGAGTCAGAAGATTTCTTTCTTTGTCGGACGCCCTCATAATGAATTTTATCCTTCAAAGTATCTCCAAGCACAGCTGAAAAGGAGCGTCGCGTAGTGGCGACTTAACACTATCCCGTTTTCGTCCCGAATGTTAATAACAGGCGATAAGGAGCGCAAATCAAGCAGATAATAATAACCCGTCTGGCCGATGTGATAAAAATGTATGCAACCCCACTAAATGAGAGTATTTTCGAAAAAGCATTTTTAGATATTAATTAAATATTTAAAAACTACAACAAAAATCGAATTAAATTTTCTATTCAGAAATAACACATCCTCCTGAAAACCTCTGTGCACCTACCTTACAAGATTTCTACATCACCCAAAGGTTGACTTGAAGAGAATGCCCTGGGCATTAAGTCCGCCGATGTACAAAAGTGCATAAAGATAAATAAATAAATGAAACAGTAAAGTTTCACAAAGTGTGAATAACAATTTATTAAACATCCACAAATTGTTGTTCTGAGTCTGGGCGTTCTTTGTGTCCGTTTCATGTATGTTTGTAAAGTCCCCCGCCACACAGGTTATATTCCTAATACGGGAGTTGTCTTTAAAAATAACATATATATATATATATTATAACCAAGTGGGTATAAAACTGTGTCAAACTTTAAGCAAATTTGTATCTCTTAATAAGTCAGAAGACCATGAAAGTATCTTCAAATTAGACTTCCCTTTGCCGGCTGTGGGCGATTTCGAGTATAATGACAATTCATTGCCCCTTAAAACAAAAGGGGCGGAGGAAGAGGGTTTGAAAACAAAAACACGGATTAATCGGCATTTCGACTCTCCCTGCGATGGCCAGAGTTTCGCATAATTAAATAGTGATTAAGCCTCTTTTGCTTGTTCAGATTAACAGTACTATAGGGGTAAAATAGAACTTTTAAAAGTAAACGTTGAGAAATAATATTTATATAATTTCAAATAACACAAACAAACATAACGAAATAGTTAATGACTCGCCATTTAATCAGTGATTCCTTGCGGAATTGTGTAAAATCTATGGAAATCATGAGCTATTGTAATCAATGAAAAAACTTCTCCCTGAGTCTTTTGTGAATATAAATTATGATCTCATAATGATTACGTAAAGAGTATTTA